CGGAGCCGCGTCGACCCCATCCCAGCTGCGGGGCAGCCGCGGGAGTGGAGGAGCACGCAGGCCTCTGCGGGATAGCGGGGGAGAGCGCGGGGATGATGTCCCAAAAGCAAACGCACTTCCACCGCCCGCAGGCTTGGCACGTGGGATGGATGTGTTCGTGACATTTAATCCAAATCCCTCTCTTTGAGGACCTTGACTTTGTTTTATCGTGAATTGGAAAATATCCCCTTCTCCCATCCTCTAATCTTTTCCTCTGCCAAACCCCGAAGATCTTATTTTCTTTTATCCAAAATAAGTGTGCCCATTTTGGGATGTCACAAGGGAAAATACCTTCTCTGGTTTAACCCTTAGAAATTAATCTCAATGATTTTTTTAAAGAATTGTTTGCTTCAAAATATTCAGCGTTACCTAAGATAACCCCTCCTGTTCTATAAATTAAATACTAAACGACTGTTGTAATAGGAAATTTTGGGATATGGAAATGATAAAAACAGACTGCAGTGAATTATAGAATATGCATCTGATTCTCAATGGTTCTCCACATTAAAGGTGTTAACATTTACTGCATATACTGTTTGCTAACTACCTAATTTCAGTAAGCAAAAAGTTCTATATTAAACTTAAGACATTCTATCCTATGACAAACTTTGGTAAAACTATTTGATTTTAACATCTCTGATGTTCTAAGATTGATGAGCCATCATCAGTACACTTTGACTCCCCTTATGGAATCGGCTTGAGCAGGAATAAATCCCCAAAGGAAAAGGAAAGTAAATAGCCATGGGCATTCTCACATAACATATGGAGATCTTAAAAATTAAACTTGACTAATCTTGTTAGGGAAAAATGTGAATAACAAAAAGCAACCAGACTATAAAATAATTAGGTTGAGAAAGGTAGTAGAAGAAACAAAAACCTGGAGTTGCCTCTGAAGAGCTAACAAAATAAACTTAGGAGCTAAATCAGTTTGTGTTTTATCAAAAATGTAACTCTTGTAACTTGAAAGCATAGTGGCGAGAAAGTATAACAGATTCTTGAAAATGATACTAATACTACATTTTCAAACCTGTGAGCAAGTATAGTACCAAAAGTATAGAATTCAGACAGGCCCAAGTTGGAGCTCCTGTCAAGCCCTTTACAACTGTATGGACCTGAAATAAGTTACTTCTTTGATTCTGTTTTTCATCTGTAAAATGAGAATAATTTCTATTTCATACAGATGTAGTATAAATAGGAATAATTACACCTATGTCAAAGTTGTAAAATACAAAATTACAGCTAGATGAGAGAAATAAGTTCTAGTGTTCTATAGCACTGTAGGATGACTATGGTTAGCAATAATATATAAATTCAGATAACTAGGAAGGATAGTGAATGTTCCTAATACAAAGAAATAATACAGGCCAAACTTGGTGGCTCAGCCTGTAATCCCAGCACTTTGGGAGGCCAAGACGAGTGGATTGCCTGAACCCGTGGGTTCGAGACCAGCCTGGGCAACTTGGCGAGACGTTGTCTCTACAAAACATAAAAAATTAGCCTGGCATGGTAGTGCGTGTCCGTAGTTCCAGCTACTTGGAAGACTGAGGCAGAAGGATCGCCGAAGTCCAGTAGGTTGATGCTGGAGGGGCCTGAGTGTGTCACTGCTCTGCAGCCTGGGCGACAGAGTGAGACTCCTCAAAAAAAAAAAAAAAAAGATACAGGAGATGATAGAGATGCTAATTACTATAGTGATCTGATCACTATATGTTACATACTTTGCAACATCACTACCCATAAATACATGCAATTATATCTGCTAAAATCTTTTAAAAAACTAAAATTGTAAGACATAAGCCAGCTCATGTAAAGTGCCTCATACATAGTGTTACTCAAGGATTAGTTGTCTGTCATTGGCAGGCCTTACCTGTGTTTTGTTCTGCTTTCCTGGATCTAAGGGATCAGTGCTTTCATTGAAATAGGTGTTTCTACCTTTCTTCTATCTATGCCTGAGTGTTCAACAGCTGTCCTCCAAATTTATCGCTTTGTATAATTCTCCAAATATGGGGTGAATTTAATAGCAGAATTTCTGATTATGCTATATATTATGTGAAACAGGCTACATATATCCTAGTATGCCAAAATGACAAAGATTTTTAAAACAACAGATCTACAGATGGAATCCTATTAGCTTAAATTATTAAAAACTGAAAGATAGCAATGTTTATGCTAGAAATGCTAGCTTTTAGAACTTGCAGACCACCAAACTACTTTAAGAGAGGAGAGAGAAGTGAGAGAGGGCTGTGAAAAAAATCTATGAGGTGATAGGAGAATGGACAGTAGATATGCACTGAATTGATTTCATGCTGAAAACTATTGAGTTCCAATCATTTCATAATCTCTGATTAACCTAGATTTCTTAACTGTTTTTTTTTGTTGTTCCAGGAAATTTAAAAACTTATCTAAATACAGTTTTCTAACTATTTACCCTTTTTGTTCTGTTTTCTTTAGATTTGAAGATTGAAAATGATGACCATCATAGCCAATTTTTCTGAAGTTCAAACCATTTTAAAAATTTTTCTTCAAAATTTTAAATGTGGTACTTTTACCATAAAATTGCAATTTTAAGTTAGTATTTTCTACTCTAAATTGTTGTTTTGGCTTTTCTCTAGACTTTTTCAACCCTTTGATGTTCTTAAAATGTGGAAAATGTAAACCTGAACATTTCACTGGAAATAGGACTTCCGTACTCATTTGAGCATGTGAACAAGCAATCTTTGGGACACCCCCTCCACCATGCATAAAGAATTTTGTTTTCCACACTTATCCTGAGACCAAGCAGTACTGACTGTTTTTGTTTCAAAAGTTTCAGCAAGTCCTTTCTTCCTTTCATTTTTGATAGCATATGCTCTATTTGGCAGAACACAAGACATCTTTCTCCTTGTTTTCTTTGGCAAGTTATTTTCTTATCTCAAATTCTTTCTACCCAGTTTGAGAGATTGGATTTGATCCAGGAAATAAGCATTCTGTTTCCCTTCAGCTGGGTAGCTTGAAATTTGTAAGCTAGGTTAAAAAGACTGTAGGGATTTTATCTTCATATACATGTAAAATACATGTTATGTATTAAAATGTATATAACTAAGAAAAAGATAATTCGTACATTTAATTTCTTTCTTTTTTTTTTTTTTTTTTTTTGAGTCTGAGTCTCACCCTTTTGTTCAGGCTGAACTGTGGTGGCACACTCACGGCTACCACAGCCTCAATCTCCTGGGCTCAGGTGATCCCTCTGCCTCAGCATTCCGAGTAGCTGGAACCACAGGCATGTGCTACCACGCTCGGCTAATTTTTTTATTTATTGTAGAGATGTGGTCTCACCATGTTTCTCAGGCTGGTCTTGAACCCCTGAGCTCAGGCAGTCTTCTCGCCTCGGCCCCCCAAAGTGCTGGGATTATAGGCTTGAGCCACCGTGCCCAGCTACATTTAATTTCTTCCATTTGACTTCACTTGCTTCAACTAGGATCTATTCTGGTACTTTTATTTTCTTCTTTCTTTCTTGAACCTTTAAGGTAAAGCCCTTGTTATAACAGAAAACATTAGGGTAGCTTATTTATGGAAATGAGGGCCTATTTTCAGATGCATTCCCTCTGTTAATCCTTATATGTACTTTGCACATTTCTCTTGTTCTGCTTCTTTGTTACCCACTTTTCTTCTTTAGAATGTCATTGTTTGTATACTGTTGCAAGTCCTCTGAAATGCCCTCTTTTTACTAATGTTAATAATTTAAAATATGGTGACACCCTTCACTGTGGGGAAATACAGAGGTACCTGCATGCAGGGATCAAGGGCCTTCAGCAGCCATTGAGTCATAATTGCTGGTACTGACGTGCTGCTTGACTTTGGCAGAACTGAATTATGGAGACAGAAGAACAGGCAATCTGGATACTGCGGAGGCAATGAATGTCACTTCTCATGCAACCTCCAAGTGTCGTGTTTAAAATGTTCACATTATACAATACCTCTGCACATGTGTATGTAAATGTTTCATATAGGAGTGCTTAAAAGAATTTGTCCTAGTACAAATTCTCCCAAGTTAAATGTTGAATGTTTTATTTTTCATAAACTAAAATCCTGAAAAGTAAACTAGCAAACTATTTTCTTCTCTCTCCTTTTTAAATTTATTTTAAATACAAGCCTCTTTGGGCCTTACCTTTTTAGGCATAGTTTATTTATAATCTGTTCTGATTTTTTATTGATGTTAGTGGAAAACTGAATTCTTATTCATGCTGGTGAATTACCAGTGATAGTTACTATCACTATATGCCCGAGTCTCCAGATACCTACCTTTATTCAAGAAATTATTTGAAGAGCTAAGTATGTTATAGTTCCTAGGATTTTGCTTGGTGATTTTCTGGCTGCTGCTCTTACATTTTAATGAATATTCAATTATTTTTCCAAATGAGAGAGGGAAAGCATTGGCTTCTTTATTGGAAATGTGCTCAAGGTCAATCCACATTACAGATGAGGTAGCTTTGGATTCTTAGAATCGTTTGAAGATGCCATGTGTCTCCATTACTTCACTGAAAGTG